CTATTAATTATATCAACGGTAGATAATAAAAACCTCTCTACCCCATCTTTTTTCGTAAACCATATAACTCCGGTCTCTGAGCAATATACATATGTCTAGAGAGATTTTCAAGTATATCTCTATATTCAACCTATAAATTATTATGGATTCTACGCCTATTAGTTATTAAACTGTTACTTTCCATTGTAAAGTTTACTAGAAAGAAATTACGAGATTTTCATAGCCTGTCATAGATAGCTCAAAAGTTGTTACACTAATTTAACAAAGGGAAAATTCATCAAATTACTCACTAATTTAATTTTTTTAAATGTTATACGACGATCAACGGACGTTGATACCTAATTATTTAAATATAATATCAGATTTAGAATTATTAAACTACAGTAAATGTATTTAAGGTTATAAACATAGGCTTTATACATCCATTTAATATTTTTATATTTCACTTCTTTCACATTAGTACTATGAAATAGTTTTTTAACAATAGCATTGCGTTGATTAGGTGAATTTTAAATACTTTTTCAAACTTAAAAACAATTTAAATTTAGTTAGTAAATTTCATTTATTTAATTTCCTTGAAAAAATGTGATTTCCGTTAAATAATATTAGTTTACACAAATTATTATTTATAATAATCTCTCTCCATTACATTCTATATTTCATATTGTTTTTTTCTAAAATTATCCGTTTTCCAATGATATAACTTCTGACAAGTATTGCCGGTAATTCATTTTCATCCTCAATACACATTTTCCCTTTTTTCTCCATTTTTCAATTATCAAATTCTTTCAAAAGTTATATTTAGCATTTTTTTCGTAATTCTTAATAATGAGAGATGGTTAATTATTAAAAATTAATCAAATTAAAGGTACTTTAGAGGATGAAATGTTGAACATTTAGGCATTTAAGCTATGTAAAGTGACATTAATGGGGATAAGACCTCAATGATATTAAAGACCACTTAATTATACAATAATACACGAGTTTAATCAAAATTTTCTGTGCAACCAGCTTTCTGTCTTTCAGTAATAACAAACAAATCATTATAAACTACAAAAATTAAATGAAGATATTATTTGCCATTAAATGAATTATGGAAGTTTGTTAGCGGAAGGGTTCATATAAATAAAATTAAATAAGATATAATGAAATATAACATATATTTTTGAACATTTTTACATAATATATTTTAAATAACAAAACTTTTAATCCATTACTTGTTTTTCCCATTTGTCATTACTTATATATATTTATTTGATTTATTATATTTCCATATATTTGCTATTTGTACTTATCATCTTTTTGAGTGTCAGGTATATATATCATAACCTTTCGTACTTATTCATTACCTTTTATTATCATAAACTAAGTTTTTGTTAATTCATCTAATTACATTTTATTATTCATATCTAATTATTCCATTTTATGTTTCTTCTTCATTTAATACTACTCTTCATTGTTTATTTCCGTTTTATAGTTGAATTGAAATACTTTATAAAACCAATTATGTCAAGTTCCACTTTTGGTAATATTATTTCAGCCAACAATTTGCCCTAACATCGCTGCCATACTCCTATCTACCTTAATAAATAAGTATAATCACTGAACTTTTCATTTTTTAGATAGATTCTGCATTTACACAAAAAAACCATTAAGCAAAAAGTTTTTTTATGTTTTTGAGAACTCGGAGTTGAAATTTTTAATGATCCCAATACTTCGCATTACATTAAAATAAAATAATATCCATTTTCACATATTATTTAGTCAATATAAAAAAAAAGTTCAAAATATATTTATTTTTTAACCTATGCTTATTCTACTTTAGAGAGTTGAAAACAAGTATTCATTATTTTTTTAAAATGATCAGTTTATCAGTTTCTTTTTTAGTGCCCATATTTGTATCGGTCTGTCAACTAATTTTACATTTCACAGACATTAGTGTTAATCTACATCTGTTTTTTTTTTCTTTCTATATCTTCAGTTCAAATAAAACCGAACAACTCACAAAATTACTAACCTAGACTCTAATAAAGCTGCATTAATAACATTTTAAGCACATATTGAAACACCATAATACAATACTATATTTGTAATTAAATGACTGTATCATGGTTAGAGACTAACATCATACAGTGCCAATTTTGATGCCTACTTCAATACATAATCAACCATCCTAAGCCTAAAAAAGTTATATTTGTATAAAACATTGTCTGATTAAAATAACAATTAAGTCTAAGTGTGGAAATTTTAACCACATAGTGAGACTGCCTTTGTTTTGTTATTCGCATTTTTAATTTTAGAAATTTGACATATACCTATCATTTATTGGTTATTTATACACAAGTTGTAATATATATGTTTGAAGGGAAATGATGGAAGATGTTATTTATAATACATACAACCCATATATTTGCAAAATATAATAAATCATATACATAAACTAAATTTAATAATTATAATGTTGCTAGAAAATTAATCTTTATGTCCTAACTTTGTTATTATTATACAAAATAGAAATTCTATTAATGAACAAATAAATATTTTTAGGTTCAAATATACAATACAAAATATAAATGAATTAATACAACATACAAATTAATGAATACAAGATATGTTTTTGTTTATACAACATCATGAATAAAGGAATTTAACATTACAAATAAAGCATTTTTAAATGCATCAGAAAAAGCTGAATAATAACTAATGAGTATTCTAATAATTTACTGGATTATTCTCCATCTTCTTCAAACACCTTTAAAAAGGCTTTATTAATAATATGTCTTTTTGGAGGTACAACCTTACTAGTATTTACAGAAAAAGTGTCTGTTTTATATTTTTTAAATGGCCCAGCATGTTGCTGGAAAATCACTCTTTATGGTGCATTAAAAATACCACGGGCACAGGCTGCCATCTTGTTTAAACTAGTGCTGGTTTCAATATTACAAATATTTTTATTCCACAAAGTCCGCACACATCTTCCCCAAGCCTCGTTCCATTTCACATATGCACAAACTTTGTTCTGGTTGAGGTAATTGGTCCAACCCTTCTCCTAACATGGACCCATAATTCTGTGCAATTGTTTTGGGTTTATTTGTATTTCCGCACTGTTTTTCTATTATTTGGACGAGTTTATTGAACGGGGCCATAATTTCCTCTTCGCCTTTGTTTGATTTTTTTTTTTTGTCTTAGGCTGCAATACATACCGTTGTTCAATAAAGATGAATCATCGAGTACTTCAGCCTGTCCTTCATGTTCACACTCAACAGTAGGGGAACGCTGGAAAAAAAAAAAAAAATTACCAATCTTAGGCCTGGTATCATCCAACTAAAAAATCAGATTTTTTAATTTCGTTATAATTTTTTCCCTTCTATTTTTTGCGATGCTTATAACACATTTAGTTGAGATTTTCATTTTTAGAGGAGGGTCTATGTCTGGCACACTTTAAGACTCAATTTTACAGAGAACAAATAAAAGCTATGTAACATTTACATTAATAATGAAAGTCGAGGAAAAAACAAAACTAATCCTTAATTGAAATAGGAAACAATGGAATCAAATTCATAACAGAAGAAAATAAATAATTTGTTACGGGTAAACAGATAATGTGGAGGGTTAAGGAAACAAGACAGAATGGCTAAGGCATCATAGGGCATTTTCTCTTTATAGTCATTACCCTATGTACATTGTTTTGCTATATGAAAAAGTATAAAAAAAATAACTTAATCATAGACTAGGAGGGATATCGAAAACTAACAATGAACTTCCAATTAACTAAATATAAATAACCAGTTAAATGCTAAATAATTAACACCCCTTGTCCATTGTTTCCTTTGCGATGATGTACTTAAGTTGGACGTTAGAAAAGAAAATAGAACTAAATTAACTTACTACAGACTTAATTGATTGTTTGAATTGAAAAATAATAAAGTAACACTTGCAAATTTAGTAAAAGAGGAATTAACCATTCACTAAATTGTAAAAAATGTCTATACAGTAAATCAAAGAACCTCATAAATAAATGGAGAAAAAAATTTTTAAATGCATTCCTTGAATCAAACAATTGAAAAAACAATTGGCAGCTCATTGCAAAGTAATTAAGTGAAAATTCATTATTTCTTAAGTAATCAAGAACTTTGAATATCTTTTTCTTTATAAAATCAGAAAATTGTGTGCTTCTTGTAAGTATAATTGATGTATAAAAGGGCTTGTTTCATTTCCATGCCCATACAGTGTTTTTGTATAGGTAAATGAAGTCAAAATTAAAAAAAAAAAAAATCTTGAAAGTTAACCTATATCAAATATGCACATAGTGCATGAATTGAATGCAGTAAACGGAGGATATATCAAGAATTTTCACTGGTTAGAGAATTAATAATTGACTATGTTTAACGGAAGGAAATTAACAATCCTAGCAATTGTGTGTGAAAAATTACATAAAATCGCGTTAATTAGCTTTACAGAAATATATTTTGAAAAACAAGGTAAAATGTATTTATAGAGAAATGTCATAGCAAAGAAATAAACAATTCATATTAATAAGGAAAACTAAGATCAATTTTATGCTTACCTTGTATGATTCTCATGAATTTTCGATATCTGTCATCTTCTTTGTTTTCTCCACTTATTTTCTTCTACTTGCTTTTTTTTTATAGAAGAAATAACCAAAAGTAGCAATCAACCCCACGGCAATTCTAGAAGGACCATGTTGTTTGCTTGGACTGACTCCGTCCTACTGAGCACATTTTCCATGGTTAACGAGCTTCGATTAGTTCCTTATTTTGCCGCAAGTTTGCCAGAAATTTTGCCAAACCGAGTTTGCCTGTAGTGTGGGCCCAGCATGATAATCGACTTCATTTTTTTTATATTGTTTACAAAATAAATCTAGTGAAGGTTATTCTTTTACTCTACTGACAGGCCAACAACAATGGCATACTAGTTAGGTGATTTGTGCTGTATTTAATTTTTGGGAATTAAAACTTCGCTGGGAATTTATTTTTTGATTTATCAAAAAATAAAACACAATGGCAGATGTTTATATGATAAGGTAAATTTATTCTCATAAAAGTTACATATTTGTTTTGTTTTAAAGTGAGCATATTTATTTCAAGTTGGAATATTTGTAATGTTCGATAACACCTTAAATTATGTTTGATCTCTTGATTTCCGCTTTTATGTTTATTTAATTTTTACAAAGAAATATCCAGCATCTGTTTCATGCTTTCATTAATAGAAGGGTTTACTAAATACAGTCTATGTATATCTTTTTATTAATTCAATGGAGACTACTAATTAGCTCTTTGCCCGAAAGTATTAGACTGTTATTTTATTTTTATTGTAATGGCATTCTTATGATTAACTTAAGAATGTATTATTAACCCTTTTATAGCGGTGGACTCATATATGAGACGGAAGCCTGTCGAGCTTGTTCTCATTTAACGACGTGGTACTCAATTATAAATTCTACTCTTAAACTATCTCACGGTCTTCCCACGAGCCAGTAATTTTTCTGTGACTGGAGATAATGACGCCTGTATAACAATGCATAAATGGTCAGTAAAGGTGATAAAAATTATTCCGTCCTCAAGTAAGCTGCACCCTTCCCACTCATTTCCCTAAAAGGTTAAAGTTATATATTGTGAAAATCAATTGAAAACCCTATTTCTCTAAAATGTGACATAAACACATCACTAAATTATTATTTGGTTGAATCTTTCTATTGCTTAGCTGTTATTTGGAATTAAATATTTATCTGTTGAAAACATGCAGTTAAGTATTTTAATTTTCTGAAGACGTACTTTTCTTTTTATTAAAACTAATAGTGAATATAAATCTTGATTAATATAAATGTATTATGAAAAAAGTCATTTGTTTTTCAATGTTATAACTTGGGGATGTTGCTGGACCTACACCGACAAAAGCAGTGGGAAATGGTAAAGTGCTTCAGGACATATTGCTAGAGCTGCTACTTATAGATATTTAAAGAGATAACTATGCGATATAAACCTGTCTATATAGATCGACGTAACACCTTCCTAAGTCTTTTCGACCCAAAGTTATGGTATATTTAAAATGAAATTGTTTCTTGTAGATTTTATTATCAATTACTAAGTATAATGAAATCCGAAAATGTTACATGCTTTTAAGTTTTGAATAGATAGAGAGATAGCTATATTAGATATAGCTCTCTCCCATATAAAATTGGCAAAATTAATATAATCTAAAAAATTGTGTCAACAATGCTCTCCTGAAAAATAGTGATTAGTTAGATTTATCCTTTTTATACAGCACCAATTATATCTTCTTTTGGTGCATTATTTATTTTTTGTAAATATATGATTTGATGATGTTGATGAGCATATGTTTATAATACATGTTTTTTGTGTTGTGTAGATCAAATGAAGAAGATCCTAGCGGAAACAAATATTCCAGGATGGAGGATGATAACCTTCAAGACAAGGAGCGATTTGTAAGTAGAGAAAACCACTGTGAAATAGAACGTCGCCGAAGAAATAAAATGACTGCTTACATAACAGAACTGTCAGACATGGTTCCTACTTGCAGTGCCCTTGCAAGGAAACCAGATAAGTTAACAATTCTTCGAATGGCAGTGGCCCATATGAAAGCTCTTAGAGGTACAGGCAATACTAGCACTGATGGAACTTATAAACCTTCTTTTCTTACTGACCAAGAATTAAAACACCTAATTTTAGAAGCTGCTGATGGTTTTTTATTTGTAGTGACTTGTGATACTGGTCGCGTCATATATGTCTCTGACTCTGTTACCCCTGTTCTTAATCAATCCCAGAGTGATTGGTATGGGTCTAGTATTTTTGAACACCTTCACCCAGAGGATCTTGGTAAAGTTAGAGAACAGTTATCGACACAAGAACCTCAGAATTCTGGTCGGATCTTGGACCTAAAAACAGGAACAGTTAAGAAAGAAGGTCATCAGTCATCATTGCGTTTATGCATGGGATCTAGGAGAGGTTTCATTTGTCGATTGAAAATAGGCAATGTTGGACCTGATAGCTTAGCTGCAGGACATCTCAATCGCTTAAAGCAAAGAAATTCACTTGGCCCATCGAGAGATGGCAATAATTATGCTGTTGTTCATTGTACAGGCTATATTAAAAATTGGCCTCCAACTAGTCAATTTGAGGCTCATCCTTTGTCAGCAGTTCAAATGGAAAGAGGCATGGAAGATGATGGTTCTCATTGCTGTCTTGTTGCTATCGGTAGGCTGCAAGTAACCTCTACTCCAAATACTAGTGATTTAAGTGGCTCTAACAGTAATGCTGAATTCATTTCACGACATGCAGTTGAGGGTAAGTTCACATTTGTCGATCAAAGAGTAATTGCCATCCTAGGTTATACACCTCCTGAACTGCTTGGTAAGTCTTGTTTTGATTTTATACATAATGAAGATCAAACACATATGAAAGAATCCTTTGAACAGGTGGTTAAACTGAAAGGACAGGTGATGTCTGTTATGTTTCGTTTCCAAATGAAGAATAGAGAATGGATTTGGCTTCGTACTTCAGCATTTGCTTTTCTTAATCCATATACCGATGAAGTTGAATACATAGTTTGTACTAATACACCTGCCAAGTCACAAAGTACAGCTGAACCAGAAACTGCTGAAACAATGAATTATCAGCAGGTAGTTGATCACAATAGTATGCAAAGGTATTCTCACATACCACAACACATGCACACAACGGATGCACGAGCTGGGCAGGTGTATAGCTACGAAGCAGCTCACTCTCCTATCAGTTATGTATCTCCTGGTCAACAAGCTATTCCTAGAATGACTAAATCAGTTAGTCCCTCTGCAGTTCAGTCTGCTTGGACTCTGTGCCAGCCAGGAACGGAAGCTTATCAATACAGTGAAATAAGTCCCTCACGTTCACCATCAGGGTCTACATATACTCAGTTAGGTGGAAGAGCAGCGCCACAAACACCTTATCACAGTGCACAGAACAATGCTTCTTTATGGGGAACTTGGCAAGGACAATCGCAGATGGATGATCAGAGTTCCAATTCTGGTAGTCATAACATTGTTAACAATAACCAACCCAGCCAACCTCATGAACTGTCGGATATGATGATGCATATCCTTGACCAAGGCGGAGCTACCACATTTGGTGATCTGAATATGTTTAACGAATAACAGTTCGACTGTCACTTATTGTTGTATAAATATATTTTAGATAGATTTAATAAAGATTTAAATAATTTTGGAATATTTGCAGTTGTAGAGAACTTTTTTTATTCTCAATCACACAGTTATTTTTTAATCTTGACTATCAAAAAAGTGCATTATAAGTTGCATTTTTGTTGTAACTTTAACATTCATTATTTATAAGGCAAATATTCTGATTAAAGTTTTTCATAAGTGATATCCATTTTTGCTGAACTGTTTATGTTTTATTAAGTTTCTATTTGTCTCAGTACTTTAATGTTTAAAAGTTATTTAAATTAATTTTAATCTTGAAAAGTACAAATCACTAATTTATATAAAAAATGTTGAAGACAGGTTAACTGAGCTGTGCAATTTTATCTTTTTCATTCACTTATTTGTATGTATGTTTTATTATGTAAATATATAAGGCAGCATCATTGTTGTTAATGGTAATTATCACAACAATAGAACTGTATTTGAACAAAGACTCCTTATAGATAATTGATCATATTGTATTATAAAGTTTATAATCAATGGAATTCTATTTTTGCGGTAAGGGCCTGAGTTTTCTTGTTCCTTCTGTAAAGATTATGTGTCTAATTACCTCTTCTTTGTATTGTTTTGAGATATGGTTGGTTAACATTTTTCCTATTTGGCTTGTACTTAAAGTTATCTCAAGCTAGTGAATCAGCTTAAATGTTTTCTTTCATGTATTTTTATGAATCCACTTTAACAACCAAAACTTCTACTTGTATGTCTTATATATATATATATATATATATATATATATATATATATATATATATATATATATATATATATATATATATATTATATATATATATATATATATATATATATATATATATATATATATAATATATATATATATATATATATATATATATATATATATATATATATATATATATATATATATATATATAGGCTTATATCTTGTGATCATTTATCTTTTCTTTAGAGATCTCAGAATCTTGTGCTAAATGAGCATTTATTTATAATTAATTTTCTGCTACATTTATACTTGTCATTTTTATAACATTCAATTTTACCTGTTATTAAAATTTGCTGATTAAAATTCCTTTTTGAAGAATTGAATTACAAATATTAGTTTGGGCTGTTCCCTGTATAGCTTAAAGCGTCACAACTCCACCCTTATGATTTCTTATCAATCAATGGATTATAGGGTATTTATTTGTGAGTAATGAGAAATTATTCCATAAAATATATTCTTACAGTATGGTGTGCTTTTTACCAACATGATGGTTATATAACCATATTAACATGATCTAGAGGATTCGTAGGTCATTTAAAAATATTTTCCCCTAATTGTAAGTGCTAAAATAAGTTGGGTCTGATTTATTGGTTAGGTTATTCAATATAGTTTAATTTTATCAAACAATGAATCTCATTTTATTCATAAATGTCACTGCTAATGTGGTACATGATATTTTTGTTGTGAGTAAAGTTATATTCTCATATTTTCCTATTTTTGTTTGTAAAACATCGAATCTCATTTTATTTATAAATCTATAGTTAGTGTGACATACTTACTTTTTTATTAATTTAATATGATATAACTTTCAGCTGTTTAATATCAGTTATATCTTATTTATTTTATTTTAATCATTTAAAGATGGTTGATTCCATTTCAACTTTTACGTTAAACATTCCTGAATTATCGGTCCATTATATGTTAATTATTATTCACTTCTTTGTTTGAGTTGTAAATGTTTTTGTTGTTGATTATGTTGACGTTTTTCTTCTTAGACGTCAGAAAAATTATAATTTATTGTGATCATTTTATGTTTTTTATTACTATAAATTGTTATCTTGACGAATGGCCATTTTGAGTTTTAATGATTTTTATGAAGCAGTAATAAATCATGATGTCTCCAGCAACTTCTGTAAATGTTTTTTAGACTGACCATTATATTGGTGAACAGTTATGTATACAAATACGTAAGAAGTATAGTCAGAAATGTTTTTGTGTAATTTTGGCAAATACATACATAATTCAAATGAATAATACAATATTTAAAACTTTCCTGTATTTTGTTTGTTTAAAAAATATATATATTTTTTAAATACATGCTGCTATGTTTCTTTGATTTCATTATTATTTTGTTGATATTTATATTGTTTATTTGATCTATGCCTAATGTTAATAATTTTAAATGTAGTTATTTAAATACAAGTATATTATCATACACCAAAAAGAACAAAACATATGGAGTTTATTCTATTGATAAAGATGAAAATTATATATATGAAATATTTATATATCATTGTTATTTTACTAAAAAATAAAAATAAGAAAAAAAATGAAATTATATTAAATTTATCTTACCTTTTGTAAATGTGTATGTTGGTTTTCATTTTCTCTTAATCACTCTATGGCTGCTTAACCAAATGTGTTTAATCAGGTTGTGCAACTTTTTGAAAGTTATGTTCAGAGTTATTACTTTTTTTTTTAGAGAATTATATTGGAAATATTTATGTATCATTTTTATTTTAAAAAAAAATTAATTTATACTTCTTTTTTTTAATTTTTGATGTAAATGCTTGAATTTATCACTACCATCCTAACCATTAAATGTAGTAATTAAATTACACTTGCAACATAGGTATAGAACTTGAACATTTTTTATCTATTTATTTTGGGAATAGGTTTATTTAAAATCTTTGTTTAACAATTTATGATAATTAGCCAATTTTTAAATATGTATGTTTTATCTGGGTAGGTAACTTAAAAACAGTTTAATTTTTGTGGGCAACATTGGAACAATTTCAAAGTAGGATAAAATTAGATTTGCTTATTAAAATGTTGGGCAATTATTTTTTTTATATTAATAAATACAGAAAACTCAGAAACATAACACCTTGGGGATAAAATTATTGTAAAAGTAAAATAAGTTTTTTGATATATGCAAAAATTAAGGGAGGGAAAGACATGGAAATTGTTTTTCTATGAAACTAGAAGACAGTTATTTATGAAACATACAAGTTTTTTGTTTAGTTATAAATAAAGTGGTTCTGTTATGTCCTAAGAAATAATGTTTCCTAATTTTACAATAGGAGTGGGGTAGCTCATTTGTAGGGCACTGAAATTCCAATGCTAGAGGTCCCAAGTTTGAATCCCAGCTCATGACAGAAAATTATTTATTCTGTTACATCAGCCATAGGCCGACCCTGGGGTAGGGATACCTTCCTAGGGCACACCTAACCTCTACAAAGTGGCTACTCTTAATTAAAATAATTAATTAAGGGGGAAAACGTGACGGTTGAGCGTGATCCTGGTCCAATCTTCCGCCTGCACAACTGTTGGCTTTGAAACTATATTTTCTCCCTAAATAGCACTGAATCCAAGACCTTTTAAGGGTTGTAGTGGTACAGGTTTTTTTTTTTTTTGTTTTTGTTTTACAATAAGCAGTTCATTATGACGGGGTACAAGACCACCAGAAGTTGATTTTTTTTGTTTTTATTTATCTTAATAGCTACAGTTTGACTGCAAATTATTTGGCAGACCGATGTTTCCAATTTTTTTCTTTAACTCCACAATATTACAAGTGTTTACTACAATATACACAAATCAGAGATATCTTTCAATACATGTTTATATTTTATTAGTAATATCAGAGTTTCAGAGACAAATATTATGTATTTAAACGTAGTACCCCATGAGTTGGCCTTAGGCTATCAACATTCATGGTCGAGTAATAGACAATAATTCAACGGTAGTGACCTTTTTAAAGTTAACTGTGCTTAGTGTCTGTTATTTTAGCAAAGAGGTGCAAGGAAAGTTAGTATTAAAGAAACTATTTTTAATATTTAATTAATAACTGTGAACTTTATGAACATATTTTTCTTGAATCAGTTCTCTGTTATTTAAAAAGTGTAATTAAATGTACACGTATGGTTCTGTTTTGTAAAAACTGGGAGCAAGATCTCAGAGATTCAATTAGAAGCTTCACCTAGATTTAACATCCTTACCTCATTGTACTAAAAGAGAGAGATCACGGCATTTCTTATCCTGGTACTGATAAATTTCCTTCTATGAAGCAATGGGACAATAATAATAGACCTATTAATTTAAAACATTTAATAATGATTTCAGTGCTTTGAAAGTTAAAATGTTTATATATCATCTTTTTGATCCGTTAACCATCTCACTGTGTTGGTATACTTTTTTTTTATTATTATTTATAACAATGAAATACTTATTTACATTATAATAATAGCCTAGGTACATTGAATGTACATTATTGGTATTTATATGTTTATAAACATTTAAAATATGCATAAATAATAAATATAAAACTTAAACTAGGCTAAGTTTTTCTTTAAATTAATGTAAATCACACTTTTTCTCTATAAAATTGCAAGTAACTGTAATTTATTGCACGTTTATTTAGTCAGTGACATTAACCAAAAGACTGGCTTTCATCTTTACAGTACACTACAGTTTTATTCTACAAAATGAAAATAAATTCTAATAAAAAAATCTCTTTGGCTATATTTCATAATCATAGAATATTCTCTAAGGTTTTACTTAAAACAAAAAATACTACTTTAAGTAGGGTACTTACACTAGTCAAATAAGGATTTTAGGTGCTTCTTAACAAGTGATCTATTGACATCTAAATAGATGCAGCTGTTTTTTAAAATGATTTATTTTTTGTATGTTCATTCATTTTCTGAGGTGAATTTTAGAATAAAATATATTAATATCAGAATTCATTCTATACCCTCCCTTTTACATAAAATAATCCTAAGACATAAATAGCGATAACATCTTCAATAAAATAAACTCCTATTAGTATTATAAATTATCTAGACTTGCCACCTACAAGAAATAATTAAAGAATAAAAGAGGACCTGTTTTTTAAATTCCAATTTTTATTTATCTTTCAGTCATATCAACTTTTATATTCATATTTATATGTTAATCATCACATTATTTTTCTGTAATTTATATTAATTATTATAAAGAAAATACCATATATTAATTATTTTTAATTTTGGAAACATTAATTTAACAATATTAGATATTTCAATTGCCAAGTTTTGGATCAGATAGTCTCGGCCTGAAAATTAATAGATTCCATTCAATAGACTAAATATTTCCTCATTAATGATTTCAATTTTGATATTCTGACTAAGAGTTTGAAATCTCATGAACCGATAATTTTTATAAAAATAGTGCTT